AATTGAAGTGTACTCTGAAAATTATCAGAGCTCAATCAATAAGAAGGGCATTTACTCTACAACACTGGATTAAGGATAATATTTAGTGCTGTTACTTTGTGGGGCTTACAAAAAATAAAAAAATTGCCCTGCACAGAATGCAGTTAAGTTTACTCAAGCAAGTCTTTGTAGTCATCTTACTGGAAAACACACTCCAACCACATTGTATATTACAACTGCAGTAGCAAAAATCCTAATAGATACACACACAAACAAAAACAAATGCTAGCCAGCTGAACTATTGTAACACAGCAGATTTTCAATTTAGTTCCATCTAAAAGTTTTATTGTTCCAGCAATCCAAGCAGAAGACTGGGAATCAGGAGCTCTATTCCTGGTTCTGACATGGACTTTTTCTGTGGTCTAAGACAAGTAACTCCACATCTTCCTCCTCTCAGCTGTCAGAAAGGGATAACCCAGTAGTACCAGAATTTTGAAATAAAAAAAAAATGCTATTTAAAGATTATTTTTATGACAAGGCTTTCAGTTTTGATTCCATCCAGCGAACACCTAAACAATTATTTTTAAAGTATACAGGTCTACGTATATCACAGCCCCTACTATTAGGCCTAGCTAATCAGATTCCTTTCATGACCATGATACTGGAGCTGCTTTTTTAGTTTACCAAACAGTGGAGTCTGTATGTGTGCTGGTATAAACTGCTACACGTCAGAGGGAATAAACTTCTGGGATCTCATACAATGGCATTTCTCGTATTTCCCCTTTGCTCTGTGCTGTGTAGGGTAACTCCCTGCATTACAATGCGAGTTTCCATGCCAAAACAGACAATTCTTTTGGAATGCAGAAAAATTTCTAGATCTATGGTCAACACAGTTCAAGTAAGAAACAATCCTGCAATCCTGACAGCTGCCACAAGCTTTACAGTCTTGCAAATTTGCAGCGTATTTCTCCTCTAGTTACTGAAGTTGAAATAGGGAAAAAAGTCAAGAGTAGGGGGAAAAAATCAACTGTATTTGATAACTGCTAACCTGCATATACATGAGAATAAGGGCTACCTTTTTTAGAATTGATATTGCATTTAAAAACTATCAGAGATATTAAGAGGCTATAATGCTAATAGAGCACTTCATTTCCTATAGTTCATCACAGTGCATCCAGCGCATGTGTCAGGTAGCAGTGCGTATCAGGTTGTCCATCCGTTTAAATACTGCATTTAACGTATACCTAGTCAAGAAATCCAGTTGAATCAAACAAAAAGTTATGGAGTGGGAATGGGAAATGAGATGTGAGGGATTTGTTTATCAAAGGGCTTGCTCCCCTTCCAAACTGCATTACGTTCAAGCTTCTTGTTCTTGACTTCAAGGCCCTGCACAACTGTTCTACCTTATTTGGCTGTTCATTCCAACACCCCCCGCACCCCCGTGCCTAAACTGCCCCATTCCCTCCACTCTACCAATGCTAGCAAACATCAAATTTGTACAGGACTCACATTTTAAGGATCCTAATGGTCTCTCATGACCATCTGCATAACCCTAAGAGTTCACTCTCCTTATGAGCATGTGAAGATACTTCACACATGCTCACTAGGACAACATCAACCCCATAACTTGTGGTTGAACTACAGCATCTCTTAATTTAAAAATGTGAAGTGACTGAGTAGCCATCAAGTCTTTTGATAAATTATTCCAATGCTTATCCTCCCTGTTAAAAATTTGCACTTTACCCTCCATTTGATTTTGTCAGGCTTCACCTTCCAGCTATAGGATCTCATTATGCCTCTGTCTGCTAGATTAAAAAACCCCTACTACCAAATATCTTCTCTCCATGTTGGCACTTCTCCCATACATGAAACACCCTCTTGAGCTAGTGTGCAAAGGAACTTCAATCCCCATATTTAAATCCTTCCTTAAGGCCCACTCCAAATGTGACATCTACAAGCCAACCAACTGATTAGTTTTTGTCGAACGAATGTCAAAAATCTCTCTACTCTCTGAATACTGTGAATAGTTTTGAGTTTTAAAAATTCATCTAAAAAAAAATTGTGTATGCATATCTATATCTATTTCCCCTTGTGTGGGAGTGTAATGGGAGCCAAGGCAAAAGCAGTATTTAACAAGTTGTAATGTTTGTGCAGATATACAGTTATCTTAAAAACTAAGGCCACAATCTTACAGCAAGTCTGCATGTCTGGACCTCTGCAGCCTGGTAGGACTCCATGCACTAGTGAGTGGGCCTTTATGCGGGGTTTGTTTGAGGATGGGGCCTAAAGTGTGTACCCAGAAGTGGCTATCCCCACTCCCCAAGCCCTCAAAAAGAAAAGGCTTGTTTTACACTGAAATAATACATAAGGCTATCTGGTGACCACAATGTCACATACCTTCAGAAATACAGTTAGCTCTATCCAAAAAAGGAGAAAAAGAAAGTGAGGAACCCAGAATGAGCATAATACAAGCAATGAGTAAGAAAAAATTAATCCCAACATTTCAATTAAAACGTAATTCAGGTGCACAGTCTAACCTTCCATGAGTTTGTACTGTCTGTTTTATAGACTTATTAGAGAGACAAGGTGGGGAAGGCAATAGCTTTTATTGGAGCAATGTCTGTTGGTCAGACAGACAAGTTTTCAAACGTCTTCAGGTCTCGGAAAGGTATTGAAGAGCTCTGTATAGCTGGAAAGCTTGTCTCTCTCACCAACAGAAGTTGGTCTAATAAAAGCTATTACCTCACCCACCTCGTCTCTCTTATATCATGAGACTAATAGGTCTACATTATATACTTATTGAAATACCAGTCAAAACAACATGTGGGGCTTGCAGCAAATTGTAAAATCTTCAGGCTCAGTTCTGTCATGGGTAGTGCGGATTTATGCCACTATACAGAGCTTTTGAAAATAATCATGGTATGTTCATTGCAAGCTTTATTGCCTTCTTCAATCCAGAGCTCTAGGGCAGTCATTTAGAGACAAGTGCCCTGTTTTAGTGGCTCAGTAAATGGCAGTGCCAGGCACCTCCCATCTCCGGAGCCTCTCCCACAAGAGTCAGCAGCCAAGGCCGGACCCTTGTACGCGTAACGGATCTAATGAATCCCAAGTACCAGCATCCTGTGCTGTGTGTACCACACCCACCAGCTCTGTCCTACCCCACCGGCAAGGGAACCAGGGGAGGGTCCTTGCTTGGCGGACACTGCAAACCCCAGGGCAAGATGCACAGAATCACAGGGTTCCTCCTCCACCTGGTCTTACTGGGAGGAGGAAACCACAGGCTGAGCCACCTTCTCAAGGCAGGGAAAGGACCTGAGACACCTATTGTGACTTGTGGATTCAAGGTTCAGGTGTCTGGTCTCTTAGGAGCCTGACTCCTCCCCTCTCC